AATGAGGGTTGGCATCGGATTATCTTCTTGAGATTTTTCACAAGCGGCGACATTGTGCCACCAGCTTCCACAGGATGGGCGAAAGGGAAATGAAAAGACGCAAGTTTTTACGAACACCAGTAGCCTACCAAAGACCAGCTATATCTTTTAGACCATGCAGAAGTTTAAAGAAACCTTTAGTTTCTGGGTTTTTTCAGCTGATGTGTCGGAATAAAGATGTGGATAGTAGTTCGACGGCGCAGTGCTTACTTTGGGAGAGCCATCATCACAATTATAGAAGTGCTAGATATAAAATAGACATTGGCGATCATGATTCTCTATTTATTTCTTTGTTCGTAGTATACTCTCAAAAAGAGTATGCACGTGTTATCCTTATCTTTCCCAGTCACCGTTTTGTTTAGGTTTTCAAGTAAGTCGTTTTGGGTCCATCACTACCTGGTTTGCCTTCTATTTTTCCAGTAAGAGTAAAATGTTCGAGGTTGTTATGTCGATTCAAGTGCCCTAGAAACTGCATGTGTCTATTCCTAATTATTCTAATAAGTGAGAGGTCCACATGCACTCTTTCAATACTATCTCGTTTGATACTTATTTTCTCCCATGAAATTCTCAAAAGTTTTCTAAGAAACCGCATTTCATTAAATCTATTTATTTTCAGTATCTTTGCTAAACTGTCCAGTCTTACAAAGAATACGAAAGGGGGTGAGGGGGGGGGGCTGCCATAAGTCCCGCAATTTTCAAGTCTTACCCTTGTTTGTTTTAATCTGTTGTGTGGCCTGATCCATCTCCATCCTGTCCGTTAATGCTGTCTGAAACGACTCAAGTCACGCACTACGTAGTAATACGATATTATCTAAAACAATGGTACAAGGAAAGAATGGCAGGAAGTCTATATGAACCTGTGAAAGATTGGCAATGGTCCTCGACCTGTTTTTTCCTGTGACTAATGGTGCTCTCCCCTTGAGGTTTTCATATGCTCGTTTTGATTTGCAGTTTGCAAAGAAATGCTATGCTTTACGTGGGCAGGGACCCCAATGCACTACTATGCCCGGAGGTCCTATCGCGTTTCTGACATGGGTCGGGAGTATTGTTCTCGTTTTTCTCTCTTTCGTCGCCAACTTGAGATAATGTGATGTTATTAAATATGAAGGTCCTTTTTGGGGGGAGGGGGGGGGGGGTTCGTTTTCCAATTCGTTATTTTGTAATTATGAGACAGCCAAAAAGTTATATTATTAGATTAAATGTTTGCCGTTCGTTGCCAATAGCGAGTATTCAACTCAATAATCACGCGATGAAAGACGATATCCATTATTTTCACGTCTGAAAAGCATTTTGTTCTTTGTTTAACATTCTGGACCGAATGCGCTCTGACAAGCCATAGAAACGCTCCCTGAATATTGAAGCTCACCGCCAGCTTGGGACCATTAAAACTTGGACCATTTGCAAATCGGATTTACAACATTTTTATTTAAGATGGTCCTTTCTTTTTTAATCGTGATATCAGTTCTTCTGAATAAAAAGGACTTACAAGATAGAAAATAACCAAGTGAAAGAAAATTATGTAAAAGAGATGTGTTAATGCAAGACTTTTGCGCTTCCCACAAAAGTCGAGAGTATCATAATATTACGATGCTTTCGCCTACTCTTGTAAGGAAATAATAGCAGGAATACAGACTACGTGAATAGTTCTGTTTGTAGTTTTATCAGCAAACAAGTTACGTTTGTGTTGAAATGAGTGTTTGTTTGTGTGTGTTGGGGGGGGGTAGGGTGTGTGTGTGT